GCTCAAGCCCAACGAAGGGCTCGGCTGCCGAGATGCCTCGTCAGCGTAGGATCGGCGTTGACCGCCTAGAAACCAGTCAGTCGGCACAGTGGACTCTGAACTCGGACCCGGTACTATGGTGACGGCACGCATATCAGCTGCACCATAACAAACCCCCCCCCCCCCCCGGAGTTCTGCTCCAACCTGTAGAGTCCCGAAGTCCTGCGCTGGGAACTTCGCCCTGAAGCCCGAACCCCACAACACCGCGGAACCTTCACATTGACTCCAGGACACAGCCGGTGGTTTCAGCTGTGGGGGCTCGGCAGGCGCGGATCCTGTGACGAAACTGCGTCAGGCGGGAAGCCGTGCCAACGTACTCCCCCACAACTTTTTCTTCCTCCCCCCTGCTATTTTAGACTGTATACCCTGCCTTGTAAGCCCCTCCAGACCCAGCCTAGGCAGGGTCTACAGCATGCCGAGAGAGCAAGGCAGTCCTAGTTGTTCAGCGCTCCAGGCTTTCGCAGGGCATACCTTAGCGGCCTTAGCGCAGGCTCCAGACTAGACAAGGCCGCTTCTAGCTCAGACAGGCATGAAGGTTCAGCGAGTTGAGGATGTGGAGTGCTGGAGCGTCCTCAACCGTGACCGCTTACTAGCCGCCCTGGCAGACGTTATGCTGGTCCGGAGGGCGGGCGACCAACACGACGGCGTGGGGTTGCAAGCAAGTTTCGTGGCACGACTGGCCGGCAAGCCTCTTGATGTGGAGCTCGGGGTAGCCACGGATGCCAGGTCCGAGACATTCGGTCGCGGCAGTGGCTTACTGTGGGCGACCTGGCGGGGCGTCTGCGCTTGTCCTGGGAGACGACGGATGTCACGAGCGGGCTGCACGTGTGGAGCTATGTTCTGAGCAGGTTCTCAGGCCGCGCTCTGGCGCAGAACATAGTCAACGCTGGGGGGCGGATGCAGGGAGGTTCTGTACGGGAGATCCTGGCCTGGTGCTGGGACCTCATGGACCACCCAGAGGAGATGCTGTCTACAGCTTTCCGGCCGCAGTCCTGCCAGCGAGGCGTGCTGAGGCGAATGAGCAGAGCCACTTTTCTGGATCCGGCTACTCTCAGGGACAGGTTTCAGCTGAACCTGATGCCACCCCGCCTCCGGCTCAAGAACGATCAGAACGTATGGCTTCGCAAGAGGGAAGTGATGAAGCAGATGCGTGATCAGAAGGGCACAGGCCCATTCTATGCGCGGAATCAGTATCGAATCATGCACTCCCTTCGCAAAGGCTGTCCCGCGCATGGAACCTATGCCGAGACAGGCCCCGCACCCCGGAGACTTTTGAACGTGCTCCATGGCCTCTCGCCGGGGTTCTCTCTGAATGTATCATCCCAGGAAGCGTGCGACAGCTACAACCACCTTCTCCTCCAAGCACACAAACAGTTTCTGGCAAACTTCGGCAGAAGGGTCCGCGAAGTGCAGGACGACAACGAGAAGCACTGGCTGGAGAGTGTCCAACTCGAGTTGCGAGACGTGGATATGTTTGAATTCTTCCTGTGCGAGGGATCCAAGATCTTGCAGTACCTTGTTGGAGGAAGCCCGCGATATTTGCGCGGGCACCAGGAGGAGGATGATGCAAGCGACGCTGCAGCGTGAAGCCTGCCTGTAGCTTCTAAGCCGTAAGTCCTAATCTGCAAATCCCAAACCTTACACGCGAAGTCAGAGACTCAAATCCTTCATTGCATGCCGGAATCTCGAGCAAAAGTTGCTTGTTTCAGGCCTCTTACTCGGAGCCTTGTGGCGGCGGGGCCGACGATTCCTCGCGAGTTCGCAATTGGACCCTGGTCTGGCGGTTAGGGCTAGGGCCGCTAGGGTTTCAGTGGGCTTCGGACCTGATGTGTAGGGCTCGTGTTCGTTGATGCGGGGTCGAGGTCGTCGCTTTGATTGGGTTTGGGCTTGCCGACACAGGGGATGTGGCTCTCCCCGAGCCCGGGGATCACGCAGCCACTGCCACTATCCCGCACTGTAGACCCTGCTGGCCTAGATTCTTCTAGCTGTCCAATTGCAGGGTCGGCACTGTGTCCGTAGCCGAAAAGACAGTTGACGGCCCTTTGATTACCTCGCTTTGATGCCATGCACCATGTCTTTGTCTGCATACTCAGCAGTACGGGTATGGGCAGCCCTACACCCCTCAAACCCAAACCCCTACAACTGTCCGCCCTGATCTGTTTCATACAGTGGCAGGACTGTCGGAAGGTTGCTGCCTTTCAGAGACGTGGAGGGCCGAGCACGGCCTCAGCTCACAGACCTTGGCCCCCCTCCACCGTAAACCTTAGACCCCTGAGCTCTAAGCCTAGACACAAAGGACGGACAATGCCTGGGCGACCGGTGGTTCTGCTTCTAGACATGGCGTCCTGGCTCGGAGGCACTTGCGACCATCAGCGCTTCAAGCTCCGATGTTCTTCATCTTGGGTGTTCCGGAAAGGTTTCTGCACGGGATACTACAAAGGATCCGTTCTCTGAGGGTTCCCCCCCCGCTTACACCACAGCCGAAAGCCCGGAACTTGAAACACCAGATCCATAAACCGCCAAAGCTCACAATGCAAAACCCACAACTCCAAAACCCATACACCTCCAAACCCCGAAGCGAGACACCAGCCCAGCGCCATCTGATCTGCAGCTCTGTTCCGCAGGCCTGGTGGGCATGCTCCTCCTGGTCTTCCTACGTCTTCCTCGCCACAGAGTTTCTGCAGGTGACCGCTGTTCAGGGTTTCCAGTTTCGGGGTTTAGGGCTCTTAGGTTGAGGGTTCTTGGGTTCACGGTTCAGGGTTTCGTGGGTTCAAGGCTTTAGGGGTTCAGGGGCTGAAAGCTAAAGGCGAGGGCCTGGCTGTGGGTGTCGCAAAGGTGCCAGGAGGGATTTGGGACTACAGGTGTCAGGATTTCCGGCGTAGGGGTCTGGGGGGCTCCAAGCAAGAATCCGCGCAGATCCTCATCTGTACGTGCCCTGACCAAAGCCCAAGCCCTAAACCTCCCAAGACGTGGCCCAACATCCTGAACGAGACAACAAAAAACAAAAGAAGACGCAACTGCTCGAAGGCCTGCACCGCCTTCGGCTGCTTT